TTGTATCCGGGTTGGGATTCAGCCTCACAATCAGCTGCTCGAGAGTGAGACACATGCTTCTGTAGTTCATTGTTAACAGTAGGCATACACAGATACACAATAGGCCTGTCTACACAGCAGGTTCTCCATGGTAACATCCTCTTAAGTCTAAAATTAATAATTTTGTTCGTTGAGGATGGATTAATGCTGTGGACACAGATAAAGCAAAAGCCACATTGTTTGATTATTGCATTCTTGAAAGAAACCTAGCCTGGTCTAGTTTCAAATGCTTCCCAACACAGTGTAAGAGCACCGGGTATTCATGACACATTTTTTCCATTTGATTCCTACGCCAGTGGGATAGACTGGATATCACTCTCCTCGGCTTCATTATCTTTGGTGCCTCAGAGGTAAATTCCACTTTTTCTGCTTCACTGTGGAGTGATAGGGGAGGATTTACATTTTAGCTGACATGTTCAATGAGGAGAGTTTCCACTCGCTGCAGAGAAATTTCGGTCTCAACGCGAGGTACCTGAATCCTCTTTCACTGTTACTCACGTGCTTATTGCCTCCTATGTTTGTCAACCCAATTCCCAATTTCTAATTACTTAGGGGAAAAACGGGAAGACTGATTTTGTTCCTCTCATGTTTTTCCTTTAAAGGCAGCTCATAAATCCGTAGCATCTATCGGAATTAGGGATTTTAAGGTTACAGAGGAAGAATATCTATTTCAAAATATCTAGGAATATTTGGCTCCCAGAAATCATGATTATTTCAATTTTCTTCACAACTTTCCTTCAGTCTGTGTATCCAATGTCTGCCCATGGGGCACTATGGGGACTTTTCTTACATATGTTCTGGGAGGCCTAAAAATAGCTGAGTATTGAACGTGGGTTTGTGGTTGTTTTGTCCACTGTCCTAGACAAGGAGGTTAATGATTCTGGGCTCCTTCCCACCCTCTTTAAGAGATGTTGACATTCTTGTGGAATTCTCCACACTCCCTTTTCTTGCACCACTTGACTACAATTCCTAGTCATTTGCAAGAGCTAGGACCCATGGAGCCAGGGGGAGTGAGCAGAGAGGTTGGATTGCAGGTTGGGTCCTTATTTGAAACTTCTCCTTCTGTTGTAGAGTTGCAGAGACTGTGTGTTCGGGGGAAATGTTTTGGTTCCCTTTTGTCTGGGTTTTGAGCATTTCAACAAAAAATGCTCACAAAGGACACAAAAAGCAGTCTTTGAAACCCCTCTTGCCTCCTCCAGTATCTTATCTCAATCTCCGCCATATTCTTGCACGGTTTGGTCTTTATCTTGAATCGAGATTGAGAAGTGCAGTTTCACAATGCAGACGCACATCGAGTTGGCTTTCCATTTAAAAACAAAGGCATTACTGTGTGTGAGTGGCCTTGGGCTCCTTAAACCCTCAAGTGTCAAAAGCCTGCCGTCTTGTGATTCAATACCATTGATTTTAAAGTCTGGCAAAGCAGCGACTGGAGTTTTATGGGTTTTCCTAGTGTTTCAGACTTTTTTTCATTCATTACCAAGTCTTTGTTATGTAAATGTGGTGAGGTGGGGCTGGAAGAACAATTGCTTCCATTGGGTTAATTAGGTTCACATGGCTGTTAGATGTACAACATCAGTGGCTTTTGCTTTACAACATTAAAGACAAATTTGGGGGATTGGCAGCTTCATAGATGAATAGAAAGATTAAGGCAATTTGGATCACTGTCTTGCCTGAAGGAAAATCCTACATTTTCCTTATTTCATGCAATGTTAGATTACATTATGTAAATACTGGTCTTTATAGAGTGGAATTGCAATAAACTCTTGCCCAGAGTTCGTGCTATGAGCATGTGATATGAAGGAACTGAGCCAAAAGCTGAAATAACTTCTCCAAAACGTCTCCGTTACATTTTTTATGCTACAGAAACCCAAATTGTTTAAGTGTGCTTTTTATTGAAGAAGTGTGTGTAAAGAGACCAAGGCATATCTTATAGAAAGGTATGCACTTTTAAGAGCATGTAGTTTATTTAAAAATGGGTTTGTTGATAATATGCATCAGTAAATGTTTTCAGAAAAATAAAGCCTTCTCGTGAACCATCCTAAACAACCCCTTAACTTTTATTTGCCTCAGGACTGATTTTAAGTGACTACGTTTTAGACGGTATTTAAGATGGGGGCATAAGGTTGCTTTTGCTAAATATTTCAACAAATGAAATGAAAAATTTTGATTGGTATTAAGTGTGTCTGGATTTGAAGCTCCATTGTCTGCTTAGTGAATAAGATAGAAACTTTCTGTATATTAGATCTGCTTATATGAAATATGTGCATGGCTTGATCATTTTGACAAAATGGCAAAAATAAAAATAAAAACTCTCTTTAGAAACTCTCTAAGATTATTTTAAAAACAACATGATGCACTGAATGCCACTGTTAAGCAGTTAAAAGCTGACTACTTGTATACACAAGTAAATCTCTTTGGCACAATGACAGAAACCCCTATCTTCAGTCAGCCAAAACCTAAAGCGTGTTTCAACGAAGCATTAAACGAAAAATCAGCTTCCTAGCATATTGAAAAAAGAAACAAAGAACAACAACAAAACACTACAAGTCTAAGCACAGTATCTGAATTATATACTGTATTAAAATGGAAAACTTTCAAAATTTAAGTATCTGTAGTTTTCGTTTAAGATTTTAATTGATGATTGGATTTAGAGAAAGTTATGACAACACGGCCATTAATCTATTTAACTATCTTGATTCTGAGGATCTAAAACATTCTAAAGGGGATAGTCACACACAATGTAGTTGACAGAAGTAGAGAATGACCGGCAAAGTTCTTGCAAAACAAGCAAATCCAGGTTCTCAAAGAGACAGATGTCAAGTTACTGTCTCAATACCAGAACATAACAGCGCACAGTATTTTCGACAGGAGCCTACAAGATTCATTCGGGTTCTCTGGTCAGAGAAAGGTGGCCATTTGTGATGCTTTTCTCAGCTGATTTAACGGACTTGAACTTTAAGAAGGGTCCCAATTGTAGTCGTAAAATAACTCAATAACATCTGTAACAGCACTTTCTGGGAGCAGATCACTTCCCAGGAAAATGCTAGCGTATGAAACTTTAAAGGTTTACAGAAGAGACAAAAACAGTGATTTCCAGAATGATTCATAGTCCCAACAAAAAAGGAATAAAAATATCATACAGTGGATATATTTGTAGAATGGATATCTTGCTTAAAAATATTTAAAACATTGTTGTGTAATCTTAAAGTGACGAGATAAGCTTGCACCCTCTTCCTGTGTTATCACACATCAGTAGTCTTTAATTACCTAATAAATGGGTACCACAGTGGAAAGAAGTAGACTTTTTGTGGGAACTTCTACAGCTCTCCCCAAATTTGTGGAGGTCAATGACAGTACTTCCGCAAGCAAAAGTCTTTCAGTGAGGAAAAGCTTTCTGACTTTAACCATGACGATGCATGATACTTCTTAATGTCTTCCAATGCATTACCTTCTTTTATACCCAAGGGAAATGGGAAAACCTTGGAAGCATCTATATACTGCAGTTCCAGAGGCTTCCACTTCACTTCCAAAGACCAGTATGCTACTGTAGAATTGTTTTTTGGGGAATATTATTTAAAGGATTACCTAGAGGCGTGAATAAACATGACCCTCGTGTTTTCAATGAATTATAATAAATATGACTTGGCTATTATGATCACAGTAAAACAACTTTAGAACTTAAGCAAAGACACTTGATCTCATCTTCATTCTGCTATTTGTTTCGTTCCTACCTTAGCAGGGGTATAAATAAATCTGGAGGACACTGTATGGGGGGGGTCACAAATAATCAACTGTTTTAAAACCACGGTTCACCTCAAATTGTTTGCAGTCTGCCCATCCGTTAACACATACTGAACTAATGCAGTTCCTTGATAAATGTAATGTAATGATAAAACAAATAAAATGTTATGTGTAGCAATTATTTTCTAAGGATGAAATGCAGAATTTAATTTTCTAATCACATTAGTCTGTTCATCACCTCTGAAGACACGTTTTACAAATCCAAAAGCAAAACAGAATCATTCTCTGTCTTATTTGAATCTCAGAATGTACGTATAAACCATTTATTGTATATTGGAAAGTGTTATGGAATGCACATCACATGACGGTGCCTGTGACCTAATTTCTCCACTCCTTCTAGGAGCTACTGCTAAAGCAATATAATCCTGGGCAAGCAGAGTCCTTTGCTGTCTTTTAAAACTGAACTGTATATATAGAGATAAGATAATTTACATGGCTAATAATTAGAGACTGTTCAGTTTAGTGAGAGCACCAAGTGATGTGAATAACTGAAGGAGACACAAGAGTCAGTGAAAGATCAAGGATGTTAGAGATAGCATCACTTCTCTGTAAAACAGGCAGAAGCTCTAATTTAAAGGCACGTACATAGTTCTGTATAAGAACAAGGATAGGTTAACTACATACCATAAAGTGGAAAGAAAAAACAAAGTTGAGTCATCTTCTTGTGTGGAAGGGTCCACAGCTGAAAAGTTTTGTTTTTTACTTTAAAAAACATAAGCTTTGCTTATTCCTTTAAATTCCAGATGCTGATACAGCTCGTCAGTATGACCTATTAGTTGAGAATTTACATATACTTTCATAAAAGGTTTTAATATCTATGAAGTTTTGTAATTTACTTTTGGAAAACACTTCCCATTCTTTCACAATTTAAAATGTCAATAAAACTGTTTCACAAATTTAAAATTGCTGTTTAAGGTTTCGAAAAGCCAAATGTACACATAAAGCTAAACAAATCCAGTAAATTGGAACTCTGAACACAGTATCCCAAGAGGCATTTGGCTTTACAGTATTTGAATGTGTAAGAGACTGAAAAACATGGTGTGAAAAGGTGCAGACGACTTTCTCCACCTACAAGATAAACCTCCAGAAATGGCAGGTTAATGAAATGGACAGCTTTGCGTTTTCCAAAGAAAATGTGTTCAAGAACGACTATAACAGGATAGATCAGAAGGTTATGCTTTATTTGCGCTGGGATTCAGATAATCGACGTGAAATATGTCATATGAAAGGATTAATTAAGGTTTGATGTGTACAGTAGATTGATATAGAGCAGTGTTTTATTTAACTTATGGTATATAACTAGGTCTAAACAGTTGATGTTATATTAAAAAGTTCAGGAGTTATGACAGGTGCCATGCCCTCAGTTTCAACAGAACATATATTCAATATTAGCTATGGATGAGAAAGTGTGCTCCTGAGAATGTTTTAACTGATTGTTACTCAATAATTTATAATACTACTGACCTTTTGCTTTGGAAGGTAAACACGGCATTAAGGTGCTTATATCCAGTTACAAAACATTTGCACAATATATTTTCAAAAAACAAAACAGGTGTTCGTAATATCACACAGGGATTTCTGACTTATTTAAACATTAATGTTGTAAAAGACGCTTCAATTTTAAATTTCAAAATTCCAGTTATAGTAAACCTGCTTCACCATTCGTACACAGAATATATCACATTCAAAAGTAGTAAACTAAAAGGAAATGCTGGAACAAAATGGGGGAGGAAATCAATAAATGTTTTCACCATAGGCTGCAAAATAATTTTTCAAGTAAACATGGCACAGAAATCTAATAAACCTGAACCGAAACTCTAAGATCCACTCTTCCACTGTATGGCCAACAGACCCATGTACAATCTACATCGTATAACTTTTTTTTTTTAAATACATATTCTAGTGCATCTGCCATCCCTTACATAAAAATGCACATGAAATGCACAACTCATTTTTTTTTTTAATAAAGCTACGCAACAGCACAGGTCAAATCGCAGTGCACGAGATAACACAAAAAAAAAGGCAGCAATCCTGCCAGGTAGCCGATTACACGGTCAGAGAAATGAAGCTGTTGTATCTCTGGATGTTCCTCTTCAGGATTTCGGAGCAGGGCCCCAGCACGCGCTCGAAACGAGGGCGGTCCAGTTTGACACACTTCAGGGGCCCGCGGGCCACCACCGTCGCTGCTCTGGGCCTGTTCAACAGCAGTGCTATTTCCCCTACGGGTGAGGAAAGCGGGAAAAGAAACATTATTTGCGGATGGGAAATCGAGTCACCGATAAATGGATCGCACCATACTGAGAGCGCTCCAAGCCAAAGCTGAGCCGCTCTCAGATGGTTTTAAATTTCTACTCGCACATTGTAGAGTTTGGACGTTCCTGCGGTTTAGAGTTGCCGTATCAGGTTAGCTGGGGAAATGGGTAAATTGTTACGTCTTTCTCCTGCAACAGCCAGTGCCTGAAACTGAAGACTGCAAATATCAGATCACAGCTCAGCAGTCAAGTGAAAGCCTCTGGCCAAAACGACAGCTGTATGCAGTGTTTCAGTTGCAGGAGACATCAAGACTACAGTTGTGTTACTGTACTTTGCTGATCACAATAGCTAGTATGGAGAGCTGGGGCATCACCACTGGATCTATCCAGTGCTGTGTTTTCACTCCTCCTTCTCAATGGCCACTCAAACCCACAGGGAAGCAGCTTGCAGGTGCAGGGCTGGTTTTTCAACATGGAAGTGATCCCATAACACAGACCAGAACGGAACCTCTGTTATTTGAAGTTGAAGACCAAAGCACTTACTTACTTACACTGATGGACTTGATTGGTCTGTCCTCTGTTCTCAGACCATTGATAAAGTGAAAAGCAAACCGACACACCCATAGACTGAGTGAAGACTGGTTACAATAAGCTGCGACAAGCTATTTGTTGTGTGACCGAATGCCCACAGTATGAACAGGTATGATTGTTAATAAGAGGGATTTTGATCAGAATAATTTGCAGCAAAACTATTCTTTCTTCCTTTCCGTTACACATTTGCATTTGGAGACAATAATGTTTTCCCAAATTTTCCATTTGCTTTTGGTCATTTTCCAGTTGTTTTTCCATAAGAGTGCATACATCATTTTAAAGCAAAAAAAAAACACTTGCACCATATGTTCAAGTCCGATAGATCCCCCACGTTGTGTTAACAGTAATACAGGACAAACGGCACATTGAGAACAGGAATAAAGAAATAAGCAAGAGGTGAAAAATGTACTGACCAAAGTAATCTGACGGTCCGAGTCTTCCAACTTCCACATACTCTTCGTTGTCAGACCTGCGCTGCAGAACAGAGGCAGTGCCCTGCACAAGTCCAGAAAGAAGGAACAGCAGTGAGACTGGAGCTCTCTTCTCTACCTGCACTGAACTTGGGCCCTTGTGTTCACTTCAGCTCTGCTCTCTACATCAGGCTGACACCAGGTTGGGCAGACTTCTCAAAAGACACAACCGATGAGCACACACAACACGCAAGGAGTACTGCATTTGCACGTCATTAGTGAATGACCATTAACAGGATGGCACCAGCTTACATTACTGGACTCAACTTACCTCCTTATTGATCCCAAGAGACTGAAACTACAGGCAAAAGCCAACATTCTCCTTATAATGGGTCATTAAGTTCATTAAAATTCTACTCATGCCAAAAGGAAATGCACACAAAAATAATGTAAGAAACTCAACTACCCTGTAAAAACCAGCTTATGAAGATCCCCAGGGAATAGTCAGGCTGGGAACATATTAACCAGTTCTGACTACCTATGAAAGAACGCAAAGAAGCTGTTCCTGGTTATGACTTTGTATTTTTCTATTTCAAGCACATCCATACCGAGAAAAAGTTTTCAATTCCTACAGTTTACTGCACTGACCAGCCTGTAAAAAAAAAGAAAGTGTATGATTCAAGTAGGAAACCTGCTGCAGGCATGGTAAGACAGGACTTTGGCAAACTTTCAGAAACCTAGAGAAGAAAAATTCCATTACCCCACAGCTGTTTATAAAGCACATGTCATTCCATCGAAAATAAGTAAAAACATAGATTAGTCGGTTTTACAGCCCAAAGACCCTGACGCTACTGACCATGTGAAACACCTGCAACACAGAGAGGAGAAGCAGCTGCCTGGAGTACACGGGCAGCGCACACACTACGACCAATCGCACACCTCCAGCATTGCGAACACGCCGAAGAGCTTGAGAGCGCTGCAGCCGCGTGCCAAACCGAGCCAAAAGGGGCGATGTATCTTCTCAATCTGCGTAGCAGCCCCCCTCCAAAATAAACCTTCTACAAAGCATCTGCAGATAAGCTTCATGTGCGAGTTTGTGTTGGGATGCCCTATTGCCAGTCGTCCCACCTGTGTGCTGCCGACACCTAGTTTTTTGTTTTCGACGGACAGAAAATAAAAACAGGGGCCTCCTGACATTGGAAATAGGACCAACAGGGAAGTCTGCTACAAGAGACAAACAGTGTATTCTTTGTTAATATTCTGAAATTACAGAACAAACACTTAATATATTGTAGTAGTTGAGATCATGAAAATATGTACTATACAGTATGTGAACACAAAGGATCCATGATGGCGATCTTGATATTGTTCTTTTCTTTTCTTTTAAATTTGATTTAAAATAGTGATTTAGATGTGCTTTCCTTGTGCACATAGTATAACACCTAAATGGTTAATAATTACCTGAAAATAACATTAAACTACAAATTTCAAGTGTCCAAATAAGGACTGTAAATCATACTAATAAAGCTGGAATTCACTGAGGTAGAACATTAAACATTTATCTTCGCTTGGGTCCCGGCAGAACCTTTAAGGTTCTTGCATTGCTGTGAGTCATATGGAAAAAACATCCTAAACCATGGGCTGGGCTGTGTTCTCAGCAACAGCTGCTCCAGATGGGTCCAGATTCTCTATCATTGTAATAAGAGATTTGATCATAGCTTCCACCTTCAGCGGAGGTAGACAAAGGTGCCGACGATTCAGCAGAGCTGAGTGTTTGGCTACAACTTTTACATTTACATTAATATCAAGGTCCAGGTGTTCTAAATAGCCACAGACATGTAAAATAGGTGCTGTTTAGCTACATCACAACTTGCTAAGAGAGGATTACTTCACTGCTTCTTAAAGTGCCAGATTGGAATTAGTCACATATTAAACACTTGGCCTGGGGCTGGTAGCTCATCGTCAGCTTCTGTGGGAAAACCATCAAATGATAGTTCAATTCAATGCCAGAGAAAAAAAGCCCCAGCAGAATGTGTGCCAAGAAACGTGGACAACTGCCAATAACGGCACTATTTTTCCTCCTTCCAGACATATCAAGGAGATTCACGGCAGTAAAAGTCACAGAAGATTAGAGAAAAAAAAAGAGGAAGAAAAAGTGGTAGTCTTTCCTGAATGAAACGCATTATCTTATTTGTCTCCGCCGCTTTTGCAACACAAAAAAAAGTCCGCTGAGTCAATAAAATGGCAAATTTATATTGGATTATGCAGCCGAGGCTTAACTTTCATCAAGGTCCACAAAGATGATCATGTCTCGGGATGAGACAAAAGCACAGGCCACCACCCACAGAGAGTGTTTCACTACAGACAAAAGGGCACAGAACAAGGAGAAGGGATCGCAGCCTGCTTCAAAATACAGCAAACAAAAACCATGTGAGAGTGAAGAAAATAAATGCATGCAGTCTGCCTTGTACAAAAAGCCCAGTTATTTCAGTGCAGGCAAAAGGCTAACATTTTCTGTTGAGCATCAGGGTTAGTTGTGCCATTCCAGGAGAAAAGCTTTCTGTTTCGGACACCGCAGTAGATGTGGGTATAACTTGGCAAGTTTCTTCTGTCATAAACGTTTGCAACTTTGATTTGTTTTATGATCATACTAGATAGGTGCTGCTCCCACCGTCACACAGAATTGAAGGGAGGTGCAGCAGGTACGCAGGTAGATGTCTAGGGACAGATGATTGCCCTGGGCAAACAAAAAGGGTAAAGAAACCTGCAGTATTTCATGTTTTAAGGCCAAAACAAAGAGCTCTATTCTCCTGCAAACGGAAGAAGCAGCATTTTGGAGGGCAAATGAATGACAGCCAAGCACGTTAGGAAGTGCGGACAGAGGAGAGACAGAAAAGAGAGGGAGAGCAAGGCTGTTCAGAATGTAATGAGAAGCTCAGACAACAAGCGTAATCTTAGCTAATGCAGTGAAGGCCAAGGTATGGACGGTGTTTACTTTAGCAATATCTTAGTTAGTCAGAAGGAGAAGGGGGGGGGGCTCTTTAAGGCGATATTCTTTGCTTGAATTTACCATTGCGAACAATAAGGGCAACGCAACAAGCCTTGATTTTTGGAAAAACAACGTAAAGCATTTTATGTTTAACTTCTGACAGGCAGAATGATGGTCAGGTCTCTAAAGAAAGCATTAGCGAGGAAAGAACCTGAAAGCTGCACATATAAATGAGAACACAAGCAGGCGTGTACAGCACAGCCCGTAGCAATGGAATTTCAGATAACGTTGTGCAGGCTTGGTTCAAAGTTTATATGCTAGAGCGTGCCAGACCTGGAAAGCCCCCAAAGACTCATATGAACAAACCCCGGCACACACACGGTATGAAAACAACTATCTTTCCTCAGGTAAGAGAAAATAACCCAGACTGATCTACACACACACACACACAAACCCCCCAAAAAAACCTTCAGAGCCCTCTCATACAAACATTGGTTGCCAGACTTCATCAATCATCCTAATTAATAATTAATCGTTCTGTATTTCTGGAAAGATTAATACCGAGATAGCTGTGTGTGCCCAAGGCGGTGGCTATGTTAATCCATCTCGCAAAAACCTGCTCCTTTGCTCTTTGATACTGCTGGGGCAGTCTCAGAGGGGAGGGTCAGATCTGGGCTGACATGTCAAACTGTCACAACTTAAAAGCAGGAAACAACTACTGAGCAAATACTGGGACAAACAACAGATTGGGCATGGTAACTTTACACTGGAAAGAGGATATGCAAGGAAATCTTTTGGATAAGCCTATTGTACAGAAACTTTCAGATGCCATGGCAGTTTTTTAACATTTCATGTTAAAAATCTAACATTTTCTTTAAGAAGCGAAAGTACCCAATTATAACTGTAATGTTTTTTTTAACAGGTTTAAGGTCTAAACTTAAGGTCCCAGATAAACACTTTCAATTAAAAAAACCTTAATTATACCAAGATTAAATTATCTTCAGCTTTAATCAGGAAGGCCTACTCAGCAACCATTCTGTTGCTGTATAATCAGAGCTGTGCAGGAATTCTGATCTGGTGTTAAAAGAGATGAAAAACTCATCGATAAGGGTGTAGCCCAGCACAGAAAACTGAAACTGTAAACCCAATAACTATCACTGAATTTAAAGTGAAACCGAAAGACACTGCATCAAAGAAAACACACTAGTGTAAACACACTTTTGCAGTGTATCGATCACGGATAACAGTTAATCAGAAACTGGGTTTGTATTTTTGTTTTGTATGCACGTCCTACAATTACATTTAAATTGAATACTACTGCAGCTAGTTTCTGTAACTTGAATAATACAAAGCAATCTTTACGACAAAGTGTGAGCCTATGTTATGGAATAGGTACCAGATTTAACAATGTTTTGTATAGACTTGTTTGTGCAATGCAGAAAAAAATGAAAACATGTCAATTTCCATCGGGGCTCTATCCCCATAGTTATAAAAGAAACGTATATCTTTTTGCATTTTGCTCTCTGTTTAAAATCCGCAATTGGCCTTTTTACATTATTTTTTAGTGGCCATACAAACCACCGAAATAAAGCTAAAAACAAAAGCAAAGCTGGCACAACTTATCTCAGCCTTCTGGGGGAACAAAATGCATGTGGCTACACCACCTTGAAGGTGATTAGCACTTGAAGTGTTGTTTTCAGCAAAGAGCCATCCCATGAACTTGCCAGTTGTCTCTATTGCAGTACATTTTCAAAGACCACTAAAGTTTTCACCGTAATTTCAGATATCCCTCAAGGGACAGTTTCCTGACCTTGGAAACCACATTCCACATCTGTCCCGTCTGGGAAAGTTTGATTCTGTGCTTACATTGTGTGAAAAGCACAGTGGGAAACCGGGGTATGGAAATATCTGAAAATTAAATGTTTGTCTCGTCTTACAAAAGGAATTTAACATTTGGACATCCCAATCTTAAATGACAACTTTTTTTTTCATCATCCCAGTTAACAGAGTAACAGAACTGAGCTCTTCAGGGGGAACAAAATGAACAGTGTTCGAGACAGTCTGATCAGTTTAGTTTGTCAGCATGGGAGGATCACACGGTGAACTTGGTATGAAGTTGGCATCAGTGTCCATGAGCTACATTTCTTGAAAGGCTTAACCAAGAATATTTGATTTTGCAGCAGGTTTACAGCTTTATATTCTTATCTTGATCTGCAATTAAAGACAATTTGATTTCTTCTATAGTATCACTACATTATTTAGAGTATGTGTTCTGAACTGAAATATAGAGCCGCTAATGAAAGAATAATAGAGAGGAACAATTAAAATAGTTCCTTTTTCATCGATGATATTTTAACATTTCTTTTTGTGCTCAGCTCATCTGTTAGCCAGGTAACAGCATACACGGGTGCATCGAGAATGTAAATTAATTTATACTTCACTAAAAATAAATGTCAGGATCAAGTCACACTATTAACATAAAGACAATGTATTGAAAATTCCTCCCCAAAACTTTAAACAAATTACAAAAATTAAAGTACAGGCTATTTTAACATTATCATATGTAAAAGCAATCATGTAATGTGATACAGAGATGGGGAATTAACAGTAATTAGACTTTAATATGAGTAACATCTTAAAACCTGCTTTCTGTGTTTTGAGGATTATAATGAATAAAAGTATGCAAAACTTAGTCAATTAGCCTAGCATCCCTATTACCAGATTGCTTTTACTTTTATTTTGTATACTTTAAAGGTTATCCATTCATCACCACTATTCCCATCTCTCCCAGAACAAGAGAGAATGATCACAAGCCTTTCTATTTGCAATTACAACTGGCTGAGCAGGCACTGAGTTCAGTCCCACAGGGACACTTTTAAACAGTTTCTTATCTAACTTTGTTTCAAAACCTCAGTTTAAAATCCATTAACTTCCATCTTCAACACTTAGGTCTTGTTCTCAAACATCAGAGAAATGTTTCAGAACAACTAAAAATGGATAAATACATTTACACATTTAGTTTTTACCTTTTAAGTCCGATGCCCTCACCTATTCAAAAAAACCTTTAGCCACTCTGGAATATCACTATCTGTGTGTGAGTCCGAATGGCAGCCATCACGAAAAATAGGAAGAAATGAGGCGAGCAACCTGCTTAAAACAATAGGTTCAACGGGGCCTTCAAATACAATTAAAGCCAAGAACAGCAGCTGTAAATAAAAAAAAAAGGACAGCAAAGCAAATGGGAAAAAAACAGCTAAGGGCTGCAGGTGGAACCTGTGAGTTGGCCAAAAAGGATAAGAGCAATATGTCCGTCAGCACAGTGATAATAGGGCTCCCCTTCAGCTGCAGTGATTGTTATTTGTTCAGTCCCTGCTAGTCACTGGCTGCATTGTTAGACCCATACAGAGTACGGACACTCAACAAAGACATGAGAATGCTCCATGTAAGAAAGAGCCCATTTCTCAACACAGTAAAAATCCTGTGTGCGGAATTAATGAAATGCTTGTTAAATCACAGGATTTATTTCCTCATAAAGAAGCTGTGTGAAACCTCCAGCAGCCCAGTCTCTCTAGCTGCCTTCCCCTTCAAAGAAATGGGAAAGGGGTGAGCCACTTGGTCAGGATCTACAGCTTATTTTAATTGTAGTTCCTAATTTAAAAGAACAACTGGAAGATATAAATGATTGTGGTGTATCATACATACAAACATACACCAACAGGCTGAATTTGAGTACTGAATGTTATCTGCAAAACCAAAAACTTAACAGCGTCCTGAATACTACAGGCCTTTCACAAAAGTCACTGCAAGAGCTTGACACTTTTAATCATCATTAATCTCCCCCCAGACTGCTTCAGACTTCAGTCATTTCTGTAAGCAGTAGTTAAATGTTACATTAGGCACTGTTTTTAAAGTTAGGCTGACATTTCCTAAAAACATGCATTAAAATCCACCCCAAAGCAGGAGGTTATTCAATTTATTACTCAAATGACCTTGGTGCTGAGATAAAACCGAAGCGACAGTTGGAAAAATGATGTTGTACCTTAGCAACTGAGAAATGGTACCCCGCGACCACACACACAGGCTCTCACCTCTGTGATGATGAAAAAGTCATCTCCCGGCTCTCCTTGGACCACAATTTTCTCCCCGTCTTCGAACTGGACAGGCTCCAAAGCATCGGCCACAGTCAGGCGTTCCCACTTGTCTAAGGACTCTACACCATCGGAAAAAGAGATGCTCAGGACGTGCAGGACTGAGTGATACAAAATGAATGACCTTTTCCCTTCACAAACAACACTGGCCAGAAATCTCGACTCCAGCTTTTTGACTTGCTTGTTGCCCAGACTACATTTATTTTTAACTTTCTAGAAATATTAGAAAAACAAACTATAACTGTGTGGAACTCAAATAAATAAGCCCCCCACCTCGTGAGACCAGCATTCAGCATTGTGAGCCATGGCAGTTTTAATTACATGAAGATCCATCTGTCCCTTTTCTAATCCTTTCTCCAGATTCAGGGTCATGGGGGAGACAGAGCCTATCCTGGGCGTGCACCAGGTCCAAGGCCATGGTGCCAGTCCATCACTGGGCACACAGGACACTCATACTCACACCAGGGCAGATTTCACCAGGACCCAGTTAACCCACCAGCATGTCTTTGGACTGTGTGAAGAAACTGGAGTACCCAGAGGAAACCCAAGCGAACACAGAGGTTCTCAGTACAAACAATACAGTACAAACTCCACGCAGGCAGCACCTTGGGTCCAGAATTGAACCCAGGGCCCCAGTGCTGTGATGCAGCAATGCCTAACCACTGCACCACCAAGCAGCCCATAATTACATGAAGATGATGAGTACTAGCACAGCTCTAGTGAGTAGCTGTTAAATTATGTCCGTCATACTGTAAGCGGTGTTTCCTTTGCAACATTTCCATTTGTTAATCAAGCACTAATTGCTAAACAGAATCCCACAGACCAGTTACAAATTTTATACACCAAAAGAGAGTAAAAATAAATAACCAATCAGGAGGTGGTGTTAATTATATTCAAAAATATAATTATTCTGGATTGGAATGGAAGATTGTTCATTACAATTATATCTATACAGTTCCTGTATAAACAGTATATTCTCCCTTAATATACTTTAAGTTTCTTTGAAACCAATATTTCAAATTAAAAACTTTGTCAATATTGTTAGACAACACATTTATACATTAAGAGTGTGATTTAAGTGCGTGATTTTCAAAGTACTTTGCTCCAGAAAAAAACACTATAAACATTTATTGAAATGAATAAGTTAACAGGAGGGGACACAGGTATGCAGTAAAATCAGTGTTTTTTTTAACTAAAATATAGCTTGTGGAAAAACAGTTGCAGGTCTTCTAAGCAGAGTCTTAAATGCTGCTTATTTTACAATGGAGCAGCCCTCTTTAGAAGTCATCCTGTGGAGATTAAAGATAGTCATGATTTACGGAAGCAATTTGGCACCTGAAGAATGTCTGTATCGTTTATCAATAGGATTAATTGGTTCTGTTCAAACACTTTACTTTGGTTTGATGGCCCATCCCACCTCACTTTAAACCACTCAGCTATGAAGTGTGGTTGCTTTAAATCTGTGTGTTAAAGCCTTAACTAGCAAACAAACTCATCTGAACGACTAGAGGAAACCCCGAAGAAACACAAAAAATAACTGGAAACAGCCATCAAACCGCTTCTCGGCAGAATAAATCCAATGTTTCAACACATACATGTGCAGCATCTTTTAACTCGAAGCGACAGCCTGGTGCACATTTAATTCTTTTGCTCTTTTCATCGGCACCAAACCATAAACACTCTGTGCACTTGTGTAAATGCACAGCACATGAGAGAGGAGTACATTTGCGCTCGGGAGGTTGAAATGCAGTGTGTTCTGGCCACTGCAGTCCAATGTCTTTCAGACAAAAGTGGTGAAAGGAGATCTTCTGCTTCTTTCACAACTGCAGGCATTATGAATCACTGCCAATGTTTCTTTGGTGTCCACTCCCTGCCAATTCACCCCAGATTATTTCCTTCATTGTCTCAATAGCACCTCAAAATGACAGTTTTCAGTTTCCACAAAGATTCACGAGACATTCACTTTTTTCCTAATGTTTACCTCTTTGCTGATCACACCCCATACAGTCCAAAGCCTTCCACTACGAATACAATAATTTAATGTATAATTTTTTTAATTATTCATTTAATAATTAGCATTTTACATCCAGTCCTCCTTATTCTCAGCGAATATGTTCCTGGACTGCCCTTGGATAACAAAAAAAAACATTTATATTGGGGGAACGGTTCTTCTACACCATATATATGCCATGGGTATGCCTACTACAGCATATTACGCCAAATAACAGAAGATCATGATCCAAAATAAACATTACAAATCTATTACAATAACAAATAAGGAGGATTCAAAAAGCTAAATCTGTAGATGGACAGTGTAGGTTCTGAGTGATCCCAGAGTCAGGACGACGTGATGAAGCTGTAATGGTGTGATCAGATGGAAAAAGTCACGTGTGAAATTTAAAACCGAGCCTTGGAGATGGTCTAGAAGCTCCGGGGCTCTGAATGTTCTAGAAGCTTCAGGAACACTAAAAGGCACATTATTGTTCAGGAACACCTGACACGCCTGGGTTGGCCTGACACCGCAGGTCCATGGAGGAGTAATAAACGGACGAGGAACAATTTCTCGATTTCTTATTGTATTGAGATTCACTGAGCCTAAATACACAATCTCTTTTCCCCAGTCCCCATTCAACGTCTTCGCAGAGACCATATTTTTTCCTCTTTTTTTTTGTGTGTGTGTTTTTGTGCTGCTACATAATACCACAGTGTTCTTGTAATGTGGATGGTTATGGTCTGTTTAGTAAAAACAGTGGTGATAATGTGGACGAGCAGCCTAGAATTTCAATTTAGGTGGCAGCTGAGTGCCGCCAGTGAACTTACGAAGTAAGAAGAGGATATCTGGGTTAATATCAAACAGAACGGCAAAGGGCTGACAATAGGGGTTTGCTGCCGGCTGCCAGGTTCAGATTGCTATTAAAAGAATCCTTTGTTCAGCTGTGTAAGGAAGCCATGTAGAGGGAAGGAGACTGTACTTAAGGAAGACATTAGGAAGATATTTCTGCTATTAAGTAGAAGACTCTTAGGAGCTAAGAAACACAGAACAGGTACTTTTAGATGTGACAGTGTAACGTTTTATGACAGCGTGTAAGTAAAAAAAAATAAGAGATGAGTACTTAAATCACCTGAATATATCCGAAAAGGTATTGAGCCACCTGGATAAAGTAATCATAACATTTAGTTTCAAGTTGTTAAAAAATCGTACTTCAATTCAAACATCTACACAGTCCGACTTTAATTATTAGCATCTGAAAGTCAGATTTTCTGGAAAACACTGGAAAATAGATGGGATTCAACCAGTAACCTCAAAATCAAAGGAAATGTGTTTTTGGTATAGCCTTTTTGGGATCAGGTTTATTTTTTGAAAGAGGAAAAGTTAAAAAAAATCAGGAACACAGTAAAAATGAATAAAGTTAAATCAAAAAAGCTGTTACTGGTAACTCTCTCTGACAGATCAAGTCAAATGTTTTGTAATGTAAGGGAACCTACACCATTTAATCTAGCAGTGACCTCTCAAGGTGAACTACTGCACATCCCTAAACACAATTAGCCAGTAACGCCATGTAGCTCTAACAGGTTCTTAATGGTGGCCTTGGTTGTGGAGTTGTGGGTTTGATTAAACAGTGAGAAAAAACACACAAACAAAATACTAATCTGAGGATCAGCCCTGACGTTGTGTGATGTTGTGCGACAATGCTTTTTAACATTTGCTGGCTATTGGCTGCCTTTGGAATCAGGTCAAGTGAAATCTGCAAAAACATTATCAGATGTATAATTTATTATTTATGCTTATTTATTATATGTATGTGTATGTTTGTTTATTCTTTAATGCAGAAAGTGATGATGTATGCTTAAGGCAACCAACAGAAGATATGAAATTCAGGTATGGAAAACTGCTTGCAGGTAGTCTTGCTAGTGATGTGTAAAAGTACACGTCAGACATAAACCACTTACAGCTAAAACTGATGTGTTAGCATTCTGGGAATGATCTGTCTCCGAAATAAAAATTGCAACATTGCACAACTATATCTGACAACAGAACGTTTTATCAGGATTTGTTAAAATGTATTTGGGCAAAAAGCCTGGACTATATACTGTATGCCCTTCAAACAAACCTTCGATTTTAATTTGTAGAGTTTCTACTCAGATTAAAAGGAAACTATCCAGCACTATAAAATAACTTGGTGGAAAGAAAACTGTCTGGAAAAAACCCTTTAGGAACAGATTTGCCTGATTGCTCGTGACTGATGGGCACTTTACCAGAGATGTTTTAAACATCATCGTGGTATTCAAGATCCTAACTATTCAAGTGGTAATGTGATCCTGCTTCCATAGAATTGACATTTCACGGTACGGTTAACATTTTCCCACTTATGGGAAGTTGTTGTTTGGGGAATGGAGATTGGTTGTTTGGGGATTAGGTCTTTGTTGTTTTATTCGTACTGAAGGACGTCAAGTGCTTGTCCCAATTTTGTGGCTATCAAAATAATCAAAGAAAAACAAAAAAGCCAAGGACAAAAATTGAAGGAGCTGTTTGAAGACGGCCTCTGAGGGGCTATAAAAAGGCATGGAGGAAAAAAGTTGGGGCCTGTGAGCTCTTTGGTGTCAGTTTATTTAGCTTACTTGACAGAGGTTATATCCTCTAACCAGGCAACCCCCTGTCACATTCCCACTCAGCTTCTGATTAAAGACTGGGCTTGATGTCATGGGATAATTGCCACACTCAGTGTGTATAGGTCCCACAACGTCTCATAAGCTCCACCGAGCTCCAATCACCACAAGCCAGGGAATTCCTTTAGGATGTTTCTTCCACATAACTGTTAAGGTATTCGGTGAGTTACAGCAAATGTTTCCATAACTGAGTCAGCTTGTCTGAGCTGCCATGTGCTATCTGTCCAGAAATCCCATGCTAGAAATGGGTTTTAGCTTTTCGAAAGGAGTCAATGGCCATCTTCGTGCTTCAGAAAGAGAACTGTCTAGGTGCTGAGTGTGCGGCGGTGACCGGCGATTTCACACACAAGACAACTGACCCAAGATGGAGACCTTGCTCAGGAATTCCTCATACATCTTCCGCTTCCTCAGCGTGCTGCCCTGTTGGGAAAAAATAAAAGGAGAAATGGAGGAAAAGAGAAAGATGGAGAGAAGGGCCACAGTCAGTAACCGGTGAATTGGTTCGACAGCTGCTGACTCTGATTTTCTTCTGCGCTTGTGATGTGGGTGACAGCCTCTGGAAAACATATCCCTCGTGAAAGAGATCAGAGACAGCAGTGCTTGATGTGCTCACCTGACGCAAACGTGACAGGCCCATCAGCAAGACCCTCCAAAAAGAGAAGCATGATTATGGAAAATTGACAGCAATGTCACAAGTGTGGAACGTGATTCGGATTTATTTTTCAAGACAAGCAAGGGGGACCTTGCAAGACGTTTGCAACAGTGTGTAAAAAATTCCAATTACAGTTTAAAACCGAGAAAAGGTCCATCCTACAGCAGAGAGCACAAGTCCCATCCCATGACCCATCCCACTCACATGCACAGGGGGTTTCCCTAACATTGCTGTGTGTTGCAGCAAAAAAAATAGCACTGACTGGCATGTCTAGACAGAAAAAGAAAGATCAAAAAATGTCTTTTCACTGTGATCAGGTTAATGTAGCCCTTAGGAAAAACAAGAGAAGTCAAAAATGTGCATTTTTACATATGGAAAAAATACAGAAGAGGTACTCTGTAATTCCTCCCTTTAATTTAATTGAGGCCAAGAAGAAACACGTACCCTTGCATTACAGTGTTTAAACTAAACTCCAGTTATTTTAATTAAAGGCATTTTTGCAACATCTATTTTTTTCTATTAAATTCTTTTCTCTCTTTTTTTAGTCTATAAAAAGTAATTTGTGTAGTACAAATGAACCTCACAGCCGTAATAAAAGGGTGGGCTGCTGTCTATTAGAATTCTGACAGCTACAGTAGGCATCGGTGAGGTTCTGAAACCGTTCAAAAACGGAAAGTCTTATTTTAAACGAAGACAATTCCTCAACAGCAAATCAATCAGGCCTTCGTGATAACGTAAAGGTCAAAGTTAGGCAATCTGCCTGTGTTTCCTTTCTTTCAAATCTACCTCTCTTTTTGTAGGGAAATAGGCTGGAGTGTATATACAGTCCCTTAGAGCACTCTTAATAAAGTAGCCAGGAAAGTTACAAGTCTTGTCAAACTCGGTGCAGTGTATAATCCCTGTCAGTTCTTTAACATAAAGCAGTGTCTTCTTCCCTTTTAAGACTATTTAACATCATCCACGCTAAAGAAGCACTAGTGTCCAGCATGTGCCATAAACAACATCGGGAGCAGACCTTAAATCAGTAACTAAATAGAATCTTAGGCCTGTTTCATTTCATGCAACTTTCTGCGTCTCCACACTTCAAAAATTACGTTTGTGCTTGAGCATCGGGAATGTTAAGACTTGGTTCCACAGCATTTCTGATCAAATGTTTTATTATTTTTTTAGTGGAATAACTGGATTTGATTTTTTATAACACCAATAAAATTCTAGTTATTCCCCTAGGAAAAATCTCTCTGGATTGACGGTGCAGCTCACAAATTCCACTGTACAGAGTGCAAGCACACAGAAAAGCAAATTCACCATGCCTGTTTTTATGAGGGAAAGTTTTACTTGGAGAACACAATGTGCAATTAACGGCTGAATACCTCACCCTGTGTATGTGCTCTGTTAATATAAAATCTTGAAAGCATGTAATTATTGACCTTTGCAAAACACTTTTTTTATGATTCTGTAGGATTCCCTTTTAACATAACTAAGAAGGCAAAAATCTTTCCAGAACTATTTGACAAACATACCAAATATGTATTATTATGTAATATTGTGTGTTTCTGGGGTAAATGTTGGGTAAAAAGCTTGTTCCCGCCATATGAAGTAAATAGATAAAGGCTGGCAAAACAAATATGACAACAAGTTACTTGATTAACCACTAAATTGTAAAACCAATCAGCTAACTAGAACAAAGCAAAACAAACATGCTGAGTTGTGATAAGGAGCTGTCGATTTTCCTGCTTAGATTAAGGGTCTGTTTTGTTTTGTACAACCCTTGTGGCTACACATTTATCATGACCAGAGAGGAGATCCTGCCTTTACCCAGTCACAGGACTTGAAATGAACAGAGCGAATGAACAATGTAGGAACTCTTCTGGGACCCATGAGATAGTGAAACACTGAGTCCCATAATGAAATCTTGCATTTACCATGAGTATTCGCCTGTAGCTGTCCCGGTCAATCCCCCATAATTTGAGATCAGTTTTGGCCTTGACAGTTGCTGCCCTAGGGGTCCCATAGATCAGGGCAAGTTCCCCAAAGCTGCCTCCTTCCCCAATACTGGTCACCCATTCTCCATTCACATAGACCTATGGACACACAGACACATAGAGGGAAAAAGATACAACAACACGCAAAACACAAAGCTTAAAGCCGCAACGATTCCCAGTTGTGAAGATGGAAGACAAACCCTATTTTTGTGGATGAAGTTTCAGCTCGTGTTTGTCGAGCACAATTGAGTTGTTGACTTTGTAAATGCCCAGCTCCCTCCCCCTTCCAGTGTATTGGTTTGGCTTTTCTTTAACACTTACAAAAATCGACAAGCAGAACCGTCACAACGTTAAGCGGAATTGTGACTTCTGCACTTCGTGAGAGCAATTCACTTAAGCATGAGTAGGAGGTTGTGCCGGTAAGCTACCTTAGGTCAGTTTTACCTAATTATTTTGAGATTTCATGTTCAATGCAAATGACAATATACTATACTGCAAATATATAAATATAAAAAATATAATTTGTGGGGATACTAATTTCATTTGTGACACTAGAAACAGCAGAAGTAGTAGTTTTCATAAAATGTCAAGACGTTTTATGAAACCAAAAATTACAGTGGCAGGCTCTATCTTCCATGTGTCTTAAGGCCACTGAAACGATCAAGAGCTTTCTCTCACACAAAACACTAATGCAGAAAAAATAAACCTGCTGAATGCTGAAAACACCACAAAAAGAAAACAGCTAAATTAAGATGAGAATGGAAGCTTTTTTGCCAGTTTTTGTGGAATCCCAGCAACATTATGGTGTCTTTGGGGGGAGTATTTTTGGGCGATGTGTCTGCAGACTCTCCAGTCCAAATGTCTGACGGAGCTGTCTCCTGGCAGCCTGGACTTTAATCATCCAAGCACTGGAACAAGGAAACAGACAGCTGCTGGTTTCAGGGTTCTGGGCTTGAGAAGCAGCCAAGACCATAGTTGTGAGACTTGCAGGCAGTTCCCATGTGTTAGTCATGGAATATCAAGCCTGATAAATACATTTTAAAATGGGTACACTTGGTATCACGCTTTGTTGATTTTAAAAAGACTCTGAGATGTTAATACCCATCAATCAAATTAATGAATTTAGATTTTAGATAACCCTTCTAAGGGTAAGCACCATCTCCCAATTTTTTTTTTTTTATCGAGTCAGGTTGCAACAGGATAGAGTGAGATACCTAAAGTACCCTCCTGGAACTACAAGACGCTTATGTAAATATTTAATCAGCTTTTCAAAAAGACAGTTTGTTCTGTGCAAGTAGACAGCAAAGATTCCTGCATTGTAGCCATTCTATCACCGTTGCCATCTCATCTAGGTCATGCTTCACCTGATCATGGAGGAGATGAGGCTCTGTACTTTATATGTTTTGAATTGAGGAGAGAAAGCCAATCCTGTTTGATCTATCACTCTGTTTTTTTTTCATACCTTTGTCCCTTTCTGCATAAAATGATAAGTAGTTTCCTGTTTATATTTCTCACTAAATGCTATCTTTTCTCCTAAGATTGCACAACAATGGGACTTTTTTCAGATTGTTCCTGCCATCTCAAAACCAGCGTGTCCATGTATAATTTTGTAGAAGAGGAACTAGTTTCAATGGAATTAAAAAAAAAACATTCAACTTTTCTGTTATATATTTCATATTTTACAGGATGCTTGTGGACATCTACACAGCTATATCCATTTAATTATCTTCAGGCTAACACTTTCAATTTTAAATTGAAGGATGGTAAAAATATACAGTACACATAGCTTGTTTCATTCGAGATAGAAGTATAGTAAATTAATAATTCTGAACGTCCAATGTATATATATAAGATGTCTACACCTTTCATTGATCTGATCAGAACTTATTAGTTTGGCTAATTGTGGAATCAATGTACTTGTTTCTTTAGAGGACACTGTGAAATTGTAATGAATATTACTTACATCAACTTCTCCTTGGTCGATTACATAGAAGTTGTCTCCCTCATCACCTACAAAGAAAAACGCCACATATTAAATGACTTATGGAAGGCATTTCCAATAGGATTTTTCCTCATTCAGCAAATCTTTCTGTAAACACTTCGTAGAACTAAGAGATTACAGCGGTCCGAAAAATGCTTAGGCTACTGTGTCCTCCCCAGTCTCCTTTTACCCCCTGAGGCCCACAGTGATTTGAAAGGCTAATTGTATGAATTATATTTTGTATTAATTTGACCAAAACCAGCAGCAGCTGAAAGAGCCACCGCTTCTGGTGAACAAATATTTTTCTTTCCATGGTCAACATTTAATCCCCACACTTTGTTTTATTAATAGGCAGCTATTGGCTTAAGGATGGCCACGCAAGTACCAACTGCGGTGCCGCACAAAAGCGCCGACACCCTTTCGACTTATTGATAACATGTGCAAACATACAAGGAAATGACATGGACTTTGTGGGAGCTGACGATTCAGCATGGGAACCTGGGATTTTTTTTCCTCACTCGGAAGATGGGACATAAGGAGAAAGTATTCCAGCTGAATTGTCCGGTTGTACAAGGTGTGTGCCATGATTTGGGGGTGGAACTTATGATAAGCATGTTTAGGACACATGAAATACTACAGCAGCATGCAGCCATTGGCTCACATACCCAATGGGTGTTTTTTAGAGGTAATCCGAGGTATTCCTGTAAATGCTACATCAATTAACTCCTTTTACGATTAAAAGACATTAACCCTGAGTGAACAAAAGCAGGTATGTACTGTAGCATATCGGATGCTTTTACAGTACTCGTAAACGCATGATCCTGGACGTATACAACGCCCTTCATCAAAACCAAGCTTCCCAAGAGGATTGAGAAACCTGCCAAACCTACAAATTTATGCAGAGATGCAGCCTCTTTTGAGGCCACCACTGCAAGCCAGCTAACCCACAGTGGCCAGATCATGGGAACATCCAGCAGGAGGGAGGGAAGCAGAGCTCCTGCAGTATCTGGGAATTATCCGGGAATTACGAGCTCGGTGGTTGAACTTTGAGTTTCTAAAAATTTGGATTGTTTTCTGTATCTGGAATGATTTTCACAATTTTATTTTATTTTTTAAAGTCAAACTTTTCAGCTTTTTTTACACACAGAGCTTCTACGCATCTACGTGAATTTCCAGTTGGATGGGAAATATTCACCAACCAGCTCCTTCTTGGTTTTTGTTAATCATTAATTACATCTTTCCGGACTTGAGAGGAAAAACCCAAATGTAATTTAAGACATCCATTGTCTGTCCATCTCCTTTTAAGAGTTTAGGACTATGACATATGAAACCTTTTTTCCCATGTCTGGTTTATCAAAACCGTGGAACCCTAAAACTTGTGGTATAGACAGATTAAATTCTGTGTGCATTTTTTATTTACCAGGCAAAACATTTTTTTTTAACGACACCAAAAATAACTAAAATGTAACAGTGGTCGAAAGCCTTTGCATGGGAAATGCCATCTTGGTTACCGACATGGCTGTCTACTGTGTTGGCAGAAGGTTCTGGCCCCATATTAAAAATCAAAATGCTAAACATGCAAACATCAACATAAAGCTTACTAAGGTTAAACCCATGCTAATACCGTTATTCTCCAGTTGGAAGGTGGTTCCTGGCTTCCAAGATAGTGCAGACTGGTGAGCAGGACAGAAGTTCGCTCTGCTGCACGACCGTAACAAGAATGTTCTTCAGGCAGGCAGCACCGTCACTAGAGTTACTATCCCGGGGCAGACACCAGGATTACTAGCCCTTGGCCGGTGAGCTGGAGTGTAGGATGGAATCCTACCATCATCAGACACCTGCACACGTCTTCAGTGGAGGTGTTAATGAATTGGCTTACTGTACTTCAGTGATGTTTTGACAGGGACCACAGAGATTTTCCCCCCATGTTTTATCATGGTTATTTGCAGAAATCAGACCACCCATCTCCTCACTATCAGAAAGCAGCTTGTTCCTGGTAAGGGCAGCAGCTGGTCTGATACAGTGTTTTCTGGGCTGAAAGAGGACATGTACAGTACGTAGTAGGCGCGACTACATGTTAATTGGGTCGTAAGGTCATCACAGGGCTTGCACACCGATACTACTGATAACTACAACCAATTAACAACCAATTAGCCTAGAACCTAGCCAGCAGTCTTTGGAAGGCTGATATCAGAGCACCTGAAGGAAACTGTGAGGAAGCAACACTACCTACAAGTCATTGTGTGCCCTCCATAGATGTCATAAAGATTAAAATGCAATAAATAGCAATATGACACATTTCAGCATGGAATAATCCTTTACCTGCGGCTTTGCAGCCTACTCCTGCTGAAGCAGCTCCCTACTCACACTTCATAAATAATAGTATTTGTCCACATCTTTTCTCATGTGCACAAAATCCGAACAAGTTAGAAAAATAATAGAACACTCATAATAGTTCCTTGCATTTATATGGCATATAAATATGGTAGATATATAGACTTAGAAATTCTGGTCTAGAGGGAAGAACGGTAACTATTGGACCTCCAGCAGCACTTTCAATGGCAACTCGTTTATCCTTGGAAGTCATTCGCTTCTGATCAGCTCCTTAAGATCCCAACTCCTGCTTGCTTTCCAAATCTCGCAAGACCGGGCCGCAGGGAGGTAACAATGCTGCCGAGAAAGACAGACCATCGAGTAAAGAAGCGAGATCACACAAAACAACAACCATTCGACGTGACTAGAATCTTAGTCTTCTCAACAAGGAATGTCTGATTGTGTTTTCTTACGTTAAATTATTAAACTTTTGTAAAAGCTAAGACCTAAGAGGTTCCCTGAAGACTCGAAGGATTAACAACCCTGTTCTGTCATTCAATCAGGAAAAGAAGGCCCAAAGCTAATTAATATGATGTGCAAGGTGCCCATAACTCATGTGGCTAGAAGTCGCAAAGGGGGTGCAAGCTGCACACATGCTTGCTCAGTTGATAATTATCAAATACCATCAGGAACTCGTCAACACACTCCTCCTCACCAACCATTATCCCTGGTGCACAGCAGGCTTTGTTTTCATATCCACTAACCTAAACCCGAGTACCAAGTACAAATATTTACCAGCTGCAGGCACAAAGATCCCACAGTCGTACGGGAGTTTAGAACTGCTTTGTACTGTAGGTGATTTGTTTCATTTCATTTCCAGCACTACATCAAACACACTGGGAATGCAGCTGAAAGCTCATTTCCTTCATTTACCGTCATCGGCTATTCAGATTTACTTCTGTGACTTGGAGCACTTTCAGAGTTCTCATACCATTGAGGTATTACAAATTTGACAGAACAATACGAACGTTCCAAAAAAAATGGCCAGAACAGCGAGGAAAACAACATATTTCTCCTCCCTTTACGTTTTCATCATCCATTCGAGCTCTGTGCATTTTTTATTCCATAAGTTGTTTACTGCACCGGATTTGAAAGCATCACTTTTCCTTCATACTCTTCCCTCCAGCAACAAGCCATATAGCCACACAGACAGCTCTTCCAACAAACACAAAGTCACCCAGCTAGTTCCAGAGTTTGCGGTTATACCACTAACCCAGGAGAGTCCTCTCTGATTAATCCCAGTGCTACACGGGCTGTACTCTTGGGAACTTGAGGAACCAAGGTCCCAGCTGGTTAGTGACACAATCCAGACCTGAACCACCTAGATCACAGAGTACAGGCTTGGTAGTGTGTGGTTTTACCTCAGAATTGTTTTATCCTCATAACAGAAGACATGCGACAGACAAAAAGTCAAAAAAGGTTGAAGTTTTGCACAAAACCCCCCTCCCCCAAAGAATAATAAACAATCAATGTATTCACCTTTCTGCTTAAATAATGCAGAATATGGAATCATATTCAGAACCATTCTTATATTAAATAATATCAAATTGAACAACAATGAAAATGTTCTTTGCATTGTAAAAACTAGTGCCAAACATGATAGCAATCATACACTGTAACTCGGCAGGCTCTACTTTGGTTCTTGCTATAGTTTGCAAGCTCTTTTGTAACTCTGGAAAGAAGGTAGGCATCTGTGTGGTGAATTATTTTTAAGAACACAACTTTGAGAACATTCCGCTCAGACTCCTAGGGTGATAAATATATTGTACGTTATACAGTACTTTGCAAAATTATTCTGATTCTTTCTATGGCAATATAACACAGACATTTTAAACTTAATATCTTGAATACGTTTAAGAACTTTTAATGATATTATAAAGTTTATAACTTGGATGCTCAAACTCAAGACCTTTAATGTATAGATAAGTTGCAGTAAATATCAGCAATATCAAGGAGAAAAAACTGAAATATGTCGATTGCATAAGTATTCGTACCTGTGAACTTCAGCAGCGATTGCAGCCTCAGGTCTTTTGGAGTAGGCTCTACCACATGCATGTGTAAAATGGCATGTTTTGGGCTTTGAGTCCAGCTCTGCACACTGGTTTAGTGCAAGGATTGCCTATACTTCTTGGCAGATTTGCTCAAGCTCTCTCCAGTTGCTTAGACATGACTTACGGAAAGCAGTTTTCAAGTCTTTCCACAGATCCTCAACAGGATTCCAGCAAGGACTTTGACTGAGCTACTCAAGGACTTTCACCTTTTGAAGCTCTGGCCTTGTGCTTTGGGTCATTATCCTGCTAAGAGGTTAAGTTTTGTCTCGGTTTCAGGTCTGAAGCATGTTTTCCTATAAGATGTGCCAGTACGTTGCTCCCTATACTGTATGTTCCCAACAGTCCTGACAAATTTCCCAGCCCCTGCTGATGAGAAGCAGATCTATAACAGGATGCTGCCAACACTGTTTTTGACAGCAGGGATGGCGTTGACTGAGTGATGCACTGTGCTGTGTTTGCATCAGAGGTAACACTTTGCATTTAGAACAAAGTGTTCCAATTTTGTCTTTAGCTGACCACAAACTCTTCCACCATATGTCTGCAGTATCACCTACAAGGCTTTGTTGCAAACTCCATGTGCGGTGTGAGATGGGTTTCCCCATCCTCTGTTATGCAGGCCAGCTTTGTGAAGTGGCTGTGATATCATTGACTCATGTTTTCCTATATCAGAAACAGAACTCTGCAGGTCTTTCGAAGTTGCCATCTCTGTCACAGTGGCATCCCTATCCAGTCTCCTCTTTGCCCAGCTGCTCAGTTAGGAGTGACAGCGACAGTCTGGGTGTATGATTCACATCCTCAAAGCTTCTTAATGATAGACTTCTCAGTGTTCCAGGGGAGATTCGGGGTTATCGAGTTTTCTTATACTTTATTCCTGATCTGTGCTGTTTTACAACTCTAGTTGTTTTAAAAGCTCTTTGGTTTTCAAGGTTAATCCCTTGCTTGGAATTCATTACCTGAATAAGGGACTTTACAGAGCGTGTGTATTGTGAAATCATTGTGACTGGCAGTATTGTGACTGAGGCCCTACAACCACGTGGCTGGTTAAGATAATTTTGTGCATCTAAGAGGTTTGCCACAAAGGTTTTGAAGACGCAAGCAATCTTTACTTTTCTGTGTTTATTTCATATTAATGATCTATTTACTTCTTAGTTTTTTTGCTTTTGAATGTGTGGAGTAGATTGTATATACCTGTACTGTGTAACATTTATTAACAGCTGCTTCATAGTGTCATGACTGCAAGTGTTAATGCAACAAAATGTAACGTGCATGGGTCTGAATACTTTTGCAAGGTACTGTATATGAAGATATTCACGTATTTAAACTATGTTAACTATTCATCTTCAATTTCAAATTTAAATTATTTAAATTCTGAAATTCGTTGAAATAACATTTACATGACAGAACAAATGATAAGCTGAAACAGGAACATAAACAGATGTGACACATTAAACTTCTGCCAAGAATATTTTAGGATTTTCACGCAAGTCCTAATCAGAATGAGTATTTTAATATATCAATAATCTTTTACTCACAACTGAAACATTAATCATCTACTGAGTGAAGTCATTTAAATGTCCTAGTATCAGGGGCAAAAAATATATCTATTCATAGAAACAACTTTAGTGAAACGACTGAGAGTAAAAAAGACAAGCTCACATTTGATGAAAACCTTTATCGTCATGTCTCCCCTTACTAAATAGCTTGAGAAAACATTGTGTGTCTTTGGCTTTCTATGGCCTGGCTGAGAGGGGGAGCCAGTTTTCTCAAACAGAGTCCTGGAATCTCTCAATAAAAGGACTGCAGTGTGTCTACAGATTCTGGTTAACATGAAATGTTGTTTTTAGAAATAAATATAAACAATCTCTGAATCATGTGAACTCTCAAGATCATAAGAGCTCTTTTTTAAACCTCCCCCTTTCGCTGGTTTGAAACCCAGCTTGCACTGCTAGTACCCAAAGCCAGGTCTCAGGAGAAGTCCAGGCTAAGCAAGCTGGCATTATGAAAGCCTATTCCAGCCCATGAGATGATTCGGTATGTTTTCCTACTCAATTCTTCACGTCTGATTTCATATGGCAACTGAGGGGCATATGGATTGAGATCTATAAGTTAGAGGGTCGAAAATATGAGCTATCGCATTGCAGTGATGAAGGAAAACAGTCTATAAAATAATGGGCTACATAATATATGGCACCTTTGAAGTGTATGTTCAAAGTAAGAATACTATTCCTAAACAATGCTTTTTTAGCCGAGTTTAAACATGACTACCGTGCACACCTCAAAACAATGAGTTGCCTGTTTTTACATTATAATTGAAGGAAGTAAGTGCATTGTTCTTTAAAGAATTACACAACATTCCAAAAGCAAGTTCGTAGCTACTGAGTAATTTAGGAAGTGATTTTCCTGAATATGCACTGTACGCCCCTTATTATCACCAAATTAGGACACAAACGTGTCTCGGTGTGCATGTGTGTTGGGAGAGGAAATAATGTGTTCAAACCTTGCTGGATGACAGTTTCTCCTGCGATGTGTGTGACTGGGAACATGGCATCAAATATATCGCTGAAAGAAAGAGGGAGAACATAGTTATCATGCTGTGATACTCGCTTTGCTCTCTTGAATTAAAAAACATGACATTTTTAAATCTGTGAAATGAAAAATAAAGTAGATGTCCTTATCTAAAAGCCTTTAGTAACCCATGCTTCTAAAACCCAGTGTTATCATGTACACTGATGTATAAATACACCAATCACATGTACATATCGTCAGGCTCGTCCTAGCTGCTGCTCTGTGGGGGGAGCTAGCACTGGCGTGGCAGTCCGCTTCTGCTTCATCGGCCTGTCACTCATTGCCGGTTGCCATGGACACTGACAGGAGACTTGAATCACCTGGAGGCGACCACCAACTTGCCTGTCTGGGTGATTTGGGGATATTTAAGAGCTGCTCAGGCTGCTCACGCCTCTGTCATAGTTTGTGTCTCCTGTCCTTTGCTTGTTTCTGTTTCCTGACTTTGCTTGGTTCTTGTCTACATTTCTTGCATCTCCCTTGTGCTTGCTCTGGTCTATGGCATTGATCATCTCGGCTTGGACCTAGTGTTGCTTGACCTCATCCCCCTGGTCATCTCCTTTGTGCCCAGCTGTTCCCTAACTTTATATTATATAATAATAATAACAACTAATAAAAGATCAAAAACACAGAAATGCCCCAGAAAAAACACTAGCACTGTCAATGGAATACTGTGGTATTTTTATTCTATGAAACTGGACTTACTAGTGGAAAGTATCAAATAGAATTTTAGGTATTTGGCAGTAGATCGACAACAATAAGCATATAGTGGTGCTATAATGAATGTCCTGGACTTGCATATTTGGGGGGTTGTTTTTACATCTTGGATGCGCAAGGCCCATTTACATCAATTCACACTCTGTCACTCGTTTACCAGTATTGCGGTATGTTTATTGTTCTGTCATGTACTTCCCATAGGTCATCAGAAAAACGCTGAATTCAAAGTACCAAGTGGTTCCAAGAAGGACTGTAACCTTTTTGAGACCTACAGATTCACACATTCGGATACACAGACCTTCATGCTTAGTCACAGCTTTATACTCATGCTTAGTCACAGCTTTGACTTTGTTAGTCTGTTTGATCACTTTTGCATTTCCTCATTTCCACCCACACTAGACTCCCCAAGGAAGCACGATCCATTTCTGACGGCATTGCTTTAAATGCTCCGTTACTCCACCTCTTTTGTTCCTGAAATTCCTGTGTTTGCATGACCTGCCAGCAGCACCTCTGAGGGCAAGCAAGGAAGAAACAACAAACCATCAGCAATCGTGTTTGTGCTGCATTAATCCCCAGCCAGTCAGTAAAATGCCTGCAGACCAGTGCTGTTTGAGGCTGGTGACCCCAGAACCTTTTCAACAAGGTCCTCTTGTGCCCTGTTATACGGTGTACATGTCCACTAACAAGAGATGAGAGAAAACTACCGCTGGAGAGGAGGCAGACTCGCAACTGTCAACAAGACTACTTGAAGTTTATTACACTCCAACAAAGCAGACCCAGCAGAGCTGAACGGTCACACTGTGAAATGTTTTGAGATGTTGCTGTTGTTTTTTTCACAATGAGGGATCAAAGACGACCACGCTATTCAGTTCATCTGCAAAGCTAATGCACAAAAACAACAAAAACACACATAGGAGCATCTTATTTTAAGAGCCAAAAGCAGTGAAAACAGCACTAATGCTGATAGTTTAAATGGCACGTACTGGTGATAAGTGACAAAGGTGTATGCGTTGAGACTTGAATGGTGTTGCAAAACTTATTTAATCAGCTGCATACCATCTGTCTTATAACGGAATATAAAAATGAAAAGTCATGAATATCAAAGATCCACAGGCTGATACAACGTGGTGAGTGAATCTAGTACATGCCTAAGCCTGTGTTTCATGTGTGTGATTTTAGGCATGTACTAAAGCTGCACACTGAATACGTGTCTAAATATGTCACAGATTAAAGTGAGCTAAGAAAAGCAGGATTTTTAAAAGCTTGCATTTAAAGAGAAAAAACATACACTAATCCTTCTAAAATATTCCTCACAATGTGTGGGTTCTTTGTTGAACTTTAAATTTCCCTTTTTTTACACGTACAGTAATACTATCCAAAACGTTTTTTTTTCTTGATGGATTCTCCAGTGTCACTGTCAACAAACTGCAGCAGTTTGTACCCAACACTTACAAGTCTCTGAGTGTTTCATTATTGACCTTCAAGTGGTTTTACTTTCTGAGATGACAGTGCCAATGTCTCTCAAAACTTTGAATAACCGAATCAAGTCCTAGCATGAACTCATATAGTAAAATTAAAGAGATAAAGTTCCTTTAAAGGGACTGTGTACACATCTGAAGAGGAATAAGTTTATTCCATGCTGAAAAGAGAAGAAGGAAAACACAGTGTTTCGGTTGTGGAGCCTTCTTCGGGTGTGTGACTCTTCTAACACTGTGTCCAAATATATGGACAAAACCTTTTGAATTTTCAGCATGGAATTAACTTCTCATTGTTATTCTTCACCTCCCACTCGGACCTTTTACATTCCTTTAATATACCTATACATGGAATACCTTTCAGGAACTGCTCAGCTTGCTTTCCTTTGAACTATCCCCAGATCAAAGGGTTTCACAGTTCTCATGCGCTGAACTCTAAAGCCACTTTACAGCAGACATATCCAAATTAGAATGTAAGAAAAAAATACAACATTAGATCCTACAATTCAGTTCTACAGTACAATTCCAGCTGAGGTGCTGGTGGTATATTATAAATTGTTAACATCTCTTGATTTCAGAATTAATAATTAAGTGTTGGCATCTGTTGTACTGTACTCTCTTCATTTGGACAAGCATTTTGTGCGTTACCCAATGGAACTCACAATAAAGGTTGGTAGCTCTTCCTGTGCATGCCTACAGGCTCCGTGGTCAAGTGTCTATCTTGCAATATATTCATGTTTTTAATCGTGTGTTAATTGTACCCATCGAATGCAAATACACGGATGGGTCATTGAGCAAATGAACAATTTCGTCAACTCTGTAGCTTCGAGCTCTCCCATTCTTCGTGATTTCACTGTGTTTTTGTGTATCCGATTTTGAAGGTTTGTAATTTCAGCTACCTACCAATCACCCTGGGTAACTTTTCACAAAGCCAGTCCTGTTCAGTGTGGAACCAATGGACAGGAAGTCCAGAAACGTAAACACAAAAGGATGGCTGTCAAGATAAAGCCTCTGTCAGCAGTAAGCAGAAAGGGCTTATAACCCCTCCCCAGGTTATAATTTATCAGCCTTCAATCAGAACTGCTTCATCAGATGATGAGTTATAGCTAAAAGCAATCCATTCATGTGGAAAGTATTCATTTGTCATCCTTAAATTTGCACTTCCCAGGTAAAAGAACTGAAAAATGTCAAAATTCATATGAAGGGCTTTTGTCTGGAAAGAAGACAGCTTCCATCTCGAAAATCCAAAAATAACTCCTGTCAGGCAAAAGCTGATATTCTGTTTCCTTTTTTAAGATAATGTACTAAAAAGGCTTAGTCTTGATGACATTATGTAGAATGATATATCCATTTAACACCAGACAACGTTTAGGCGCAGTCCTGGCACTGTTGGTACAGCATGGGTCTTCCCTAGCAAACTGTGATTTCTCAGCATCATTGATCAGAGATATAGGAGTCCCCTATTTGGTACTACCTCACTGTATGGCACACAGAAATGTCAAGTGGCTTGATATCACAGCCTGGTTCTTCCATTCCAACGCAGGGGCCAGAGAGAAGAGCTGAGCTGATTGACAAAACACCAATTTCGAAACGGGACAGTATGAAAAGAATGACCAATTCCAAATTAAGAACAACCCTTATACAAAGTTTTAACTTTCAGCTGGAGTTGATCGATGCATGATAGTGCTTTGTTAACACTAAAATATGTATTGCCCAGAACACATGAGTATTTATGATGTTGCGAGTTAGGTTACAGATTACATTAGCAGTTACAGCTAGGTACACTTCCACATGAGTATCTGAAGAGGCTGAAAATAGGCATCAGCCTTTTGACCCTAAAGCCGTAAAGATTCTATTTTATTTAAATTCTGACTTAAGAAGTTAAGTCAGAATTTAAATAAAACAGAATCTCCAACGAATATGATATTGTAATTGACACTTTTAGGTCTTTCTCATCTCAGTTCATTGCAGGGCCAGCTTTGACCCCTCAAAAGGGAGAAGGAGGAAGTGTAGACTTTTCGAACTGCTGGTCTTTTAACATGTCATGGGCAACACAGCCCTGTACTGTTATGAGCTCAGCCGGACCTCGTTAATTAGCAATCAGCATTCCGCACATGACTCTCTATTTAAACCCTCTGCGACCCGCACGTCACTGTATTGAACAGCCTGCTGTTGTCCTGAGCTCTTCCTCCTCCTGAGCCCTTCAGCAAATGACCCCTTCTCCTACTCTGGATCCCGACACTGCTCGCCCAGGTGGCTGCAGGGGTCCCTGTGTCAGCCCTGCTGACTTAAAGGGGAACTATAATGCTATTTTTTAGATTTCAGGGCATTGATAAGTGCATTTCAAACCACAGTGAAAGTAAAATGTACACAGTAACGTGTAAAACCTCCAATTTACGTCACAAAATAGACAACATTTCCAGGTATGCGCAGCGCCATGTTCTGTGATTCAGAATGAGGCAACAAAACTGATGAATACATCTCTTTTGATCCAAGAGAAATATTGCTCTCAACTTCCAGATGATTTTGCCAACAAATACTACTTACTTTTTAACACTGCATGCAGATCACGTTGGAACCCTTTTGCAGTTAAATAACTACTGCACAACCTGTACCTATTCCATTGTACATCTCATTGCATCAGACATTACAGTGACTAGTGAGCAGGAAGGGCTGCAACACGTCACAAATGTCGTGAACTCTCGCTCTCGGCCGTGGTGAAACCAAAGGTTTGCCACCACATGGCGACCTGCAGTACTTTCACAGAGGTCACGATTTTGTGCTTCATTCAGAATGTGTAAAATT